TTAGGAATCTGCATCATTAGGTAACTCTGTGTATGTGGTTGCACTGACTGATAATAATTACTAGTAAAGCTTAAGGAGATAGAAGCAAGTAAAAAGAACAGCATACTCTTACAGTAAGACTTGCTTGATATATGTGAGCAGTTCATACAAGACTTACTGCAGGAATATATAAGCAGTGATAAGCATCCAGCACACATTGAGCTGTTACAAATCATAATCACTCGTCCTGATTCATTTGATGAATAGAGAATGCTAGGTATAGTGATGTTCTCTTTCATTCTTGGTGGTGGTTGCTGGAATAGTTCGGTCACGCTATTAGACAGTAGGGACAAGGATAATCAATCCTAATTCCTCAAGGTGCTAGTTTTTAGCCTTGCTAAGAGATTTGGTAAGGCGATTGCTACCTTTTTGGTCTAATACTACAAGCACATTGCAGAAAAACCACCTCAGAGATAGCAACAGCAATGTAGATGGCCGTCTAGATACTATAGTTTGCTGTATAACTTGATGAATAAGCATTGTTTGTTGAGTTTACTAACTTGTTCTTGAAGGTTTCTGCTTCAGAATTTAGTCTCTTGTGTTTAGAAGAGACCCAAGTAACAAAATATGTGTGTGAATGACTATCTGTAACTTGCTGCTGATGTTTAAGAGCACTTTGTCTATGCTATCATCACTAATCATAAGGAATAGTTTATGATGCAATCTCTCTGTGAATGGAAGGTTCTTATTAACAAGTACCAGCTGAAATCAGTAGTAGAAGATTTTGAATCAGTTCAATCATTCATTGAAGAGATAAATGATAAGTATGGAGAGATCACTCAGGACTTTTTGAAGGCAGATCTCACTCTGGATGAAGAATGCATCCTAGGTATGGAGGTCCACACATCAGAGAAAAAATCTAACAAAAGGCAGCTTGCTTTGGCTCAGTACTGCGTTTGTAAGCTATTCCAAGTCTCAAGATAGTTATAGGTTGTACCATTCGGATAAGGCAAGTCTAGAATACCTGCTACATCTGCTGCTATAGCTCCTATCAGCGGAGCATGTACCAAGGTGCATATGGTCTTTGAGAACAACTATCTTATGAAGAGAGTGCTCTCTTAGGTTACGATGAGACCTGGATCCAATATCACGCTGACTCTAATTTCACACCTGCAAAGGGAGAGCTGGTCATACTAGATGAAGCTGATGAATTCATGCTCAATATGATAGAGGAATTTATCAAGCTTCTGAATTAGTATGCTTGCTTGGGCTTTATTGCAACCCTCGATAATTGTGACGCTAATGGAGCAGTAGCTAAGGTAATAGGTAAGAAGATCTCAGCAAGTTAGACTATATGAATGAGCCAAATTTTGAGTCTGTCAAGAATATTACTGATCTACAGATGGATGAGAATGTTTAAGCTGCTTCCATAGAAGAGAAGGCAGCTTACATTAAAAAATTTTAAGTCTCTGATTCAGTGCTTGTGAATTACATTGTTGATCATGCTTAAGAATTCAAGAAGATTTGTAGTGACTATATACTTGCCACTGAAGATATTAATAGCGCTCTTTTTGAAAATTTTGACTAGCTACTCTTTTAGATTCGCATATTTGAAGGAGAGTTTGGCATGAGTAGCTTTGACTATAGGTGTAAATAGGCTAAAATGACACTCGTAAATGTAAATTATTCATTAACAAGCGAGGCAATGTAAGGCCTTGAAGAGTAGGTAGGTCCCACAATGTGTGTAAGAGAGTCAAGTTCACAGACTTGGATTTGATAGACAATAATAAGGAGTTATAATATACTGCTAAACTTTTTTTAGCACATGATGAAGCTGTCAAAGATCAAATCATGGTGAAAGCGCTACAGGTTGAAGCTATGTCAAAGGGCTTCTCCCTTTCATCAGTAGATATAAAAATTTGCTCGGTATTGGAAATAAGAAAACCAAACCAACAGTTTACAATGTTGCCACCCTCGACTAGTTCTTCATGAATGAGAAGACCGATGAACAAGTGGCGGCGACAATAAATATGAAGGTATAATGAAGAATGCCTGATTCATAGATAAAATTATCAACAACAACAAAAAATTTAATTATAAAACAGATTATTAAAACACCAAAATCTTCTTTGACGTTCCTGTCTGTAGCGCGATTTTGAAGTCTAATAATCTATTATAATTGAATTTGATTGGTATTACAAACCATAGTTGGTGATTTTACTATTTTCTTAAACATTTATCTTACTTTCAAATATTTTATTTTTAAATTATAAATAATAAGTTTTGACTTAGATGTTTTATGTTCGGGGTTTTGGGGTTTTGGGG